GTGTTTTAAAAGATATCCATATGCTTGAAAAATAAACAATACAATACAGAATGCTTGTTAAAGGTGTTTTGTAATTCACAGCTTGAGGAATTGGGACTAATTTGTGGTATGTACTAATCAAGTCAATTTAAGATCATATTTGTTTTATTTCCCAAATTGACTTATTTTTAATAAACAATTACCAAGATCATAATCAATGTGGTAATTTTTAAAATGCCTTTTTAATAATGGTTGAACTACTACTTTTTGCATGGAAGAGGGGAAAATGTTCATTCATTTTCTTTGTTGTCATTGTCTAACCCGTTTAGATCATGCTCTTGAAGGATGTTAGTAGTGGTGAACATAAATTTTGATTAAAATTTGAGGCACTTTTTGTTAAGATGTGAGCTAATGTTCTTTTTTTTTTCCACAGTGAGTGAAATATAATGATTCATTGATACTAGATGTAATATGAAAAACAATCAACCTTGTCAGAAGATGCATGATCCTGGAGATACCCTAACTCTGTAGGCATATCCTGATTTATCTGGAGGATCTTTTAGCATTTGCAGCTTTGTGTATGTGTAACTAGGAACTTAATACCAACTAGATGCACAAATAAGTTGGAGTGTCATCTAAATCTTATGAGGAACTGATCCAGTAGGAATACTTGACTACCTTTTACATATATATGTGTGTGTGTGTGTATGTGTATTTATAGAGTCAGTAGCAAAGGGCACTGTTACTCAAACACACAGGTTGCTCTTAATCCAGGGGTTAGACTACATAGACAAGTAAGAAGACAGGCTTCTGGTGTCTCCTTGCTCATATCAACATCACTTCCCTTCCAGGAAAGTGTCTTAATCACCGTGCTGCTGAACTTTGGAGACAGGGGAGAGTTGGGTGCAAAGTCCCCTTCTACTTCTTGAAGCCACATGGTTTCACAAAACATAATACGGGATGAGTGAACGTGTCTGTGGAAGTGAGCCATCTCGGGTTTAGGTTCCTGTTCATGAGACAAGTTTTTCATTTTATTAAATAGTCATGGGAACAAAAGAAGGGCTAATCCTGAGAGCTGGAACACAAGACATGACAAGTGCTGTAACCACTAGGATATTACATAACACTAGTCATACAGCAGCTGTTTTAAAAAGAGTGAGAGCCGTCCTTAGTTCTTCAAAGACTATCCCAGGCACTGCCCGCAGGGGAGACCTCCGAGTTTTGGCTCCTAAAGAGATGAAGATGCCACCCTTGAAATGCTGACTCAGACACCTGAGGGAAAGTGCCACACCTCTCCGTGCTGCATTTCCGCGTGGCTTCGTAATTCCCAATTAGCATGCATGTTTTATGAGTTCCTAATTCTAATTTGATATTGAAAAAAGTAGTTGGATGAATTCCTGGCTCAGTAAATTGTATTTAGAGGCAGAACCTTTCCCCCCAACCTTTTTTTTTTTTTTTTTTAAACAGATTAGTACAGCTCTCATTACAGCTTTTCTGTGTGAATATGCAAACAAGTGGGAGCTATTACTTCTTTTTTTTTGGTAGGGGAGGAGAGGGGAAGCAGTCAGGAAGCAACTTGTTTATGGTAAAAATAGGGTTGCAGGTATGGGAAAAGCAGCCTACACTTAACACAATGATTCAACAATGGATGGGAATTTGCCCTGAAGCAGATTTGAAATTTCAATAGTCAAGTACAGTGCTGAAATACTATCAAAAAAGATTTGCAAAAACTTTATTTTTTCCTTCTCATCATATGAATTGTTAAACTTAAAGCTGCATGCATTAATGAGGAAAAAAAATAGTAGTTGCTATTGTATTTTGTTACTTTCCCCAGATTTTTTTGTTAAAAATTTTAAGACAAGTATCCTGCAAATACGGGCCAGCCAGTTTAGCAGGAAGTTTTATGAGTGCCAGATTCCACCTCCTGCATTCACAAACTAGTACTTCATTTTGCAAGTTGACTGAGTTATTTCATTTCCCTAGGCACACCAAAGCAGGCTAAAGGTTGAATGAATAATGCATTTGGATATGACATAATTTCATTATTATTATATATTTGTTATGAGTTTCGACAAAAGTTTTCAACATTTTGTTTGTTTATTTATTTATTTATTTTGGCGAATATCTCCTTAAAATGGCAAAGGCTTAAGAGACTAGTTGTGGAGGTCTTTATAATGATTTGAAGAGAAACAAAATATGAGAGAGAAAATAAACATTTTGAATTCCAACCCTATAGGAGTTTTCATTAAAAGTTCTTGCTTTTCCTTCTGCTCTTCTTGGAAGATGTTGAAAATGCTGTGGAACATGTCCTTTGACTCCTTGGCTCATTTGGTGTCTTGTGCCCTTTATTCCTAAATTATATCAGTAATACTTGAATATTTTTCCATAGATAGTTTGATAACATTTAAGCCATACTGTTAACTCTACTTGTCACACTGAATTGTCTTTTGATGAGGATTCTGACTGACTTGGATGTCATCTCAGCTGAAGATCTACCACAGAGCCGTAGCCATGACTTCAGCAGTACTAGAACTGTCTCGAGCGATGACAGAGCTCTGAACATAGGGCACCCTTAGCACGTACAGCATCTAGCCACTGCTTCTGTAGTCTGGAGTCATGCCGTACAGACCTGTACGCTCTACAAAGCCTGTGCAGTGCATTTGATCTACCATCAAACATGCTGCACATGGATTTCAAAATGGAGCATGGGGCCTGTTTGGTTTTGGTCCAGGATGACGGCGCATTAGAGCAGGATAGGTTTCCAAATGTATGGAATATCTAATGCGTGGATATACTTTTCTAGAGCTATAGCTGACATCATATATGGATATATATGGTTACTGTTGACTGCTAGTGTTTTTGGTTGCCATGCAAGTTTGATAAAGTTGTATTGGGATTTCTATCACAGATGAAAATTGCAGCCTTATGAAGGCTGGGGGCACGCTCTCAGTAGCTTGGGAAACGATGCACCTGTGTAAAGGAATCCACAACTATTTCTCCTTTTCCTTGTTTGCATTATTAAAAAGTTTCAGGTGAGTGAAGCATATCCTATGGTTTAGACCATTGCAAAACATAGTGTGGTGCATTTGTACCTAGGCAGTTCTCAGTGTTTTCCTTTGTATTGTGCTCTGGTTTTGGAGATAGGAGAATAACCAAGAGAAAAAACCAATTTGTCCACAATTTGTAAAAGTGTTTAAAGAAATAGTATACTAAATATCACTTTTAGAGTCAGGCACTACTGATCCTGAATTATATGGCTGGAACAGAAGAACCAGTGAATGAAATGTTTTAGTTATAATACAGAGTTTGCATCTCTTGAACATTTCAACTCATAGCAATTTACTTGCATTGTGGAGGAATCTCATATAAACTGATTTTTGGAGGGATGAAATAGAATCATATGATGTATTCTAGGACTATTTGCTGTTGGGTTTGAGTCTAGAGGACTAGACCAGAGCTAGTCCAAAATAAAGCTCTCCCCAAAAGCACATAGTGTGGGACTCAGGTTCTCCGCAGCAAAATCCACAGATTTTGACTGCAAAGCAGTTCTTGCTGTCATAGCAGTGGTGCCATATAGAGTTGAGTTAGAAAGTCCTCTGGCATTGGATCCTTTGCTCAGTAGCATGTCAGGTTGCAGAGCACTTAGGCCAAAAGACACAACTACTTAGCAAATCAGGTCTACACAGACTGTTGAGCCACTGTGTTGGTTTGTTTGTTTTTCTTGCAGGCTAAGAGACTCTTTTTTTCTCTGATAGTGTCTGATGGAAACCAAGCCAACCTGTATATATATAGCACTGGGATATCTACCAATTTGCAGACTTTCCTGCTAGCTAGTTGATGAGTTAGCACACCCTAGACTCTGTTCTTTAAAATCCTCACTGGACAATCATTGTTCTTTCTGGTTTTCCAAATGTAAGTAGAAGAAATGACTGGTGCAAGGTAACATGGAGGCTGAAGGGCACAGGAGGCATGGGACGAAATGAAAGTATTGCGCTAGATGGATGGGGAGGATGTAGCTTAGGGTTGATGTATTGAAGGTTCCTGTGCACACTTGAGTTGGGAGCTCCTGCTGTGTGTGTTAGATGATGAAATAATACACTGACTGCTCAAAATCGGACTCCCAGGGAAAAATGCCATCCATGCTTGCTCACTCTGCTAGGTAGCATTGTCTGCACTTTTCTTTAAGCTGTTTCTAATGTTTTTCAATCTTGATGCTGTACAGGGACCTGCAATCATCTAAGAGAACCTGTATACCAGAAAAAGGTGACTCTGCTTTGTCTGTATAAAAGTATGCTGCAAAGAGCAAATGTAAGGAAAGTCTAGAGTTTCCGTCAGGCTGGAAGCCAAGAGCGGTGTCAGACATCTGTCATCAGCAGGAGTTGCAAGTAGTGGAGCTGGGGCTACAGATGAGAGTGACAAAGGTACACGACAAACCGGTGAAAGGAAAAGCTTTCTAGGACAGATGATAGCAGTTCATGATAAGACACGAAAGTAAACTACACAGGTGAAAGGGGAGGATATGGGTAGCTAAAGAGGAGAAGAAAAAAAAATACCACCACACCAGAAAATAAATGGTGAATGAATAAGTCTAAAGTATTGGTGCACTGGAGAAATTAAAAGGCATGAGCACAGTGGGAAAAAGTGTAGGAAGTGAAGAGCAAAAAAAGTAAAGAATTGAAAGATGCATCTCCTCCCTCCCAAACACTCAATATAATAACAAAATAAAAAAATGCACCCCCCTGAAAGCACTATTGGTGATAAGGAAAATGAAAATGTAAAACTGTGTTTTTGAATGTAATTTTGATTTTACCTTTCTAGGTATATACAAGAGACTGCTCTTGTAGTGTCTGAGATGTTTTCTCTTAAGCTGTAATCTTCCGGGCAAATGTGTGAGAAGTGCTGATTTGTTTCTCGTGTTCAGATCAGAAGAATGTGAATGCAGCAGAGATTTGACTTGGTGTTTCCTTCTATGGGTACGGGGGAAAAACTGAAAGAGAAAGCCTCCTCTGGGAAGAAAGGGAGTGAACCCATTATAAATGAGATCCATACAACATCCTCCTGGAGGTGTGTTGAAATTTCCCATGGGAGGAAGAAGAGTAAACAAAGGTCAGTATTACTAATAAAAGAAAAAATAGTTGGCAACCAAGGAAACAATAATTATTTGATTGCAGTGCCTGAAAAGCTAGGAACAGAAACAGTGCCAGTCAAAAGCAACAGCCCAAACACATCTCATTTACAACCATACCTGTCATTACACCAAGAATGTTTGCCTTATTGCCCTGAGAGCAATGCTTTGCCAACAAAATAAATAAATATGCCCTGACTTTGTGCCTTTGCCGCATTACTCTTATGACCACAGTGTTCCTGAGGGCTTGTTATGTTTAACTTCACAACACTATCATGATACAAGGCATTGCTATTACCTCTGCTTCACAAATGAGGAACAGAGCTTGAATTAGAGCTATGCTTGCATCTGCAGACACAGCTTGTTTCAGGGAAGGGAGTTTCCAAGTCCCAGGCCAGTAACCTTTATTTGACTTTTCTTGCTTACTTTCTGAGCTGGCAGAAATAGTAATGGGATATTAATACTGGGAGAAAATATGCAACAATTTTTCTTGAGCAGTAAATTTTATCTATCAGGAAATAAATGTACTAAGCTTCCTTATTGCAAAATACATTCTCTGTAAAATGCAATCATGGCTTTAACTTCTACCGGAAGATATCCATATAATGCCTATATATATGTATGTATATGCATATATATATATATTTACAAATATTTATATTTGTTTGGCAGCAAGATCCTGTCTTGAAACTAGTTCCATTTCACTCCACAGTTCAGGCTGGTAAAGTCTATTAAGGCTTTTCTAACAAGCATTGCTATTTCTTAGTGGAAAGGCGTGTGCCGATCTAGACATAAGGAAGCTGTGCAGAGCTCTGGCCGCTTTTCCAGCCTGTGTTGCAGTGCAGTCTCTAAATGCATTTCCTCCG